GACCACAAGATGAACATGAGCCTGCTGCAGCTAGTAAAGCAACCAAAATGCTGGCTTGCATCCATAGATGCTTCTCAAGCAAATCTCGGGATGTCATTCTCCCATTGTACTCGGCCTTGGTGAAGCCGCAGCTGGAGTACTGCATCCAGTTTTGGGCCCCACAATTCAAAAAGGATGTGGAGAAGCTTGAGAGAGTCCAGAGAAGAGCCACATGCATGATCAGAGGTCAGGAAAACAGACCTTACGATGGACAGGTTGAGAGCTATGGGGCTCTTTAGCCTGGAAAAGCACAAGCTCGGGGTGATCTGGTGGCCACCTAGAAGTTTATCAGGGGTGACCACCAGGATCTGGGGGAATGTTTGTTCACCAGAGCGCCCCAAGGGATGACGAGGTTGAACGGTCAAACTACTACAAGACCACTTCAGGCTGGACATAAGGAAAAATCTCTTTACTGTCCGAGCCCCCACGGTCTGGAAAAGCCTGCCATCGGAGGTGGTTCAAGCACCTACACTGAACACCTTCAAGAGCAAATTGGATGCTTATCTTGCTGGGATTCTATGACCCCAGCTGACTTCCTGCCCTTTGGATGGGGGGCTGGACTTGATGATCTTCCAAGGTCCCTTCCAGCCCTAATGTCTATGAAATCTTGCAAGGTCTCTTCCAGTCCTAGTGTCTATGAAATCTATGACAGGAGGTGGGAACTCCATATTTTGCATAAAACCAAACAGACTCCTAAAGGACTGTTTACATGCAGACCTGCCCTGTTCTAGATACTGCCCCACTGACACGGTATGTAAGACTCCAACCACCATCTCTACATTTTTGTTTGTTAATGCTCTGGAAGAAAGTGACATTTGGGGGCACAGAGTGGTGGGAAGCTCAGGAGGGCAGTGGGGTTCATGGGAGCTGCTGACTCAAAGGTCTTTGCCAGGCTTTAGTAAGCTCAAAGTGTCACCTGCCCAGATTTCACCCACTGAGAACTGGCTGAGAATGTCATGAAGACAATCATTGTTAAGTAGCCTAGAAAGGTGGAACCCTGGGCAAGGGACCAGTCCTACCTGCAGCCATACCTCTACTGAGCCTTCTGAAATCCTCTCACTGAAAAGCAGCTGTGACTCCATCAGTACACACTATAATGAGAACACTATCCTAAGCCAACCATGGACTTTTTTTTTTTCCTACCATGGAGATGACAGCAGGGTTCCCAGCAGTGCTAGCACAAGTAACCATGCACGCATGCTAGATCAGCAGGGGCAGGTCTGAAATGGCTCTGTAACCCTTAAGTGCTCTTAGGACAGAAGATGGATTTGACAGAACCTATTCCCAAAAAAACTCATGATAGAACTGGCACAGTGCATCTCCTCAGCATGTACAAGGACAGAGCAAGTCAAACTGGACATTACCAAGGGATAAGAGCTTATCAAAACTCTGGAGAAAGACACTAGAGCACACCTAAGAACCCCAGCCATATGTGAACAGAGGATGCCATTCACATATGAATGAACCACTTCACAGCTTCCCTATATTCCTCTAACATCTATCTTGCTACATGAGCCTGGGAAGCCTTCCAAGTTCTCCTTTATGTTTCTTTTAACATAGCCCCTGCTTCTTCATAAGTTAATTAAGAGCTGAGCCCCTGAAACCTGCATCTCAGGCAAGTCAGTCTGACCTCACTAGCTAAGCAGGCAGTAGGTTGGTAAACTCAGCCCACAATGCACTGCAAAACCCATGCTGCATTCCAAGGCAAGCTGGGGGGAGCTGACTGTCCACCAGAACTACAGGCAAAGTCACATGAGCCAGTGTTCCCTGACCTGCCACACAGTGCTTCGGAAGGGGCAGAGCACTAGAACTGGAGAAGCTGAACTCCTACAAGTCAGACAGTGACAGATTTTATTCCTTTTCCAAAGGTCTGGGACTCCAGGAAAGAATGGCAACAGTTCTGCAACCAGGGGTCAGCCCACTCCCCCAAAGCTCAATTCTGAAGCTGAAAAGCAAGTGGTTGTGCTGAGCCAGATCAGGCAGGTGAAAGATCCTGAGACCTCCTCAGAGTTTCTAGTCATTTTTATGCTGAAGTGAAGGAAGTGCCCTTTGAATATCAGACACAGAAGTCCCTTTTTCCTACGCATCTGGCATGAGGGAGGCCAACATGCCTCTCCCAGAACAGTAAGTTGGCAAGGCACTGGCACTCCATGGGACACATCTAGGCGTGTACACATGCCAGCACCATTCTGTGTGCAACACCCTCCCATCTAACCCAGGCTTAAAATGATGGTGCAACTGAGTGAGCCAATCATCCCCTACCAGATGCATGTCTTGCAGCAGCAGGAGCAGGTCAGCAGTTGCCACATACAACAGCTGTTCCCACACTGCATTTCATACTAGCAACAGGCCCAGGCAGAAGGCAGCCTAGGAGCAATTACTCAGAGGCTGTTCTCAACCTTCCCTAACCTCCCCACTGCTGAGGAGCCCCCTCTCCTAGGGTTACCCATTTGGGGAAACACTACATCCAAGCGCTTGTGTAGTAGAGGAAACCTTTAACAAAAATACTGATGCTTCAAACAGGTCCTGCCAGCTGACCAAAAAGCACTGCATAGCCTGTCAAGATCACTCAGGCATGCCTAAAGACAAGAGGATGAGGGGAGAAAATAAAGCTCATCCAGCTACACAGAAGCAGACTGCCAAGTCTCTTGCTCAGTTTAGTATAAGGAGCCAAGACATGCTGGCAATTTCAGTTCTCTTTGCTTCATTACAACCTCCTACAACACCAGGAAAACCCGTAGTGCATTGTCATGAACCTCAGTGTCTTTCTGGGCTGTGGTGAACTTGTGGGACATTTCAGGAGGGACAGTCCTATTCCAGACTAGCAGGAAACACTGGGAGCCAGCCACAAGGACTGCTTCCCAAATGTTCATTGCACAAGCTGCAACCAAGGTACTCACTCGCTACATTGGAAGACAGTGACAGTCCTGTCTCAGTGTGGTATGGATGCACAGCGATCTGCGTCATGGATGGGACTGGCACCCCTGGGAACGACACTGCCGTAGCTGCCAAAGATGGCGTTGTTACCGAGTAAGGATATTGTGCACCTATAAATGCTGGGTGGACACCCTGGAAAAGAAAGAGGCCAAGCAGTCACATTTGCCTCTAGGGCACCAGGTCCATTCACAAGTGATCTTAGATAAGCCTTGCACACTCACAATTCCAGTACAGGAAAGTGTTGGAAGTCCCAGTGCCAGAGGCTCTTCACCCCTAACTTGGAGCACAGGAATCACAATGATGCTAGTGCACAAATTTGCTCCTCTTCAATTTAAATCCAAGTAGAATTAAACAGAAATATTTCATCCAGCTCCAAGAAGAACTGGTAGAGAAAGCCTTTTTCCACATCCCTCTGTACTGGCTATTTAGACTAAGTTCTTCAAGTCAGAGGCATTTCTATCAACTGTATAATATGCTGCCAGGAAATAGGCAAGAATCATCATGCTAGTAGGTTGTACTCCACTTAACATTCTCCCAGGACATTGTCTGCTTAGCTACCTTGGGAGGTGGAGCTCCCTAGAGGAAGCAGGAGGTGTAGGGAGCTGCCCAAACCAGAGTCAGTGACAAAACAGACTGGAACGCAATAGATTCTGGCTCTCACCCCTGGATTTCTCACCCCCAGCCCTCCACACCCCAGCAATGCTACAAATTGCTGAGGTAAGTTACCATGAATGGAGAGGAAGAACTAAAGATCGCCAGGCCACAGGCGGTGACTTACCTGGGGGTATGCTGAGCCAGGCACAGGGAAGACTGCTGGGCGTGGCATGTGCTGAATAGGATGTCCAATATATTGGGGGTTACAGGGTATGTGGGTTTGGAGAGTAGTGTAAGGGTGGAGGCCTTGTGTGTGTGCATGCGCCATTGCTGGCCCTGCCATCGTATGCTGCTGGTACATGGTCGACCCCACAGAGATCACTGGCACCACTGTTGCTGCTGCCGTCACAGCAGCTGCCACTGTCACTGTGGTCGGTTCAGAGGTCACTCTGTTGTCAGTCAACCCACGTGCTGCTTCAGAGGCTGCCCGGGCACCACTAGCACTGCAGCCAGTAGCTCCTTCCCTCTGCGCTGGGGTCCCACCTACAGTCTGTTCATAAAGCCAGTACCACTGGTGTGCCACTTCAAACAGGACTTCTGGGTACACCCCACCTCCTTTGGCTGCCTCTTCCACAGCCATGCAGGCCTTTTCCAGCATCAAGTTATCCTGGTCATGGCAGAGAATGAAGAAAAACCCAACACCATGAGGGAAGGAAGAAAACTGCAGTACAGAAAAAACCATGAGCAATGGTGTCTCAAAATAACAAACACTGCCTGGTGCAGCTGGCAGCTCATTACTGCTACAGCAGACAAATAAGATTACAGCCAAGGACCGAAACAGAAAACAGCAGAACCCATGAAAAAACTGAGAAAAAAAAAAGACCCAGGTCCTTGGCTGCTTCTCTAAAATGTCCAGACCCCATGAGATCAACTAGCCACAAGCGTGTGGTGCTCACCTGCTCCTTGCACTGCACCAGGGCCCTCTGGATCTCGTTTGGGTTCAGGGCATGAGCATGAGGCAGACAACTTAGTGCAAGTTCAGCAGCTGCTCGCACCATGTTGGAGTCCCTGGCTCTTGAGGCCCTGTCTGCCAATGAGGCCACCTCTGGAGGAGTCAAGTGTCCATCCCAGCATTCCACCAGGATGTTCAAGGCTGCACTGCCAATCTCCATGGCCTGCCCTGAGAACCAGACAGAAGAGAGGAGAGCATCACACTACCTGCCAGTGCCTCACTGCAGCACCAGTCAGCTCTTGCAGCAGGAGACAGGTGCTCAGCTTTCCCCAGGGTAGACAGCTCCCCTCTGGAAAATGAAATGAAGGCCAGTCACTGCAGTAGGTGACAGCACAGTCAAAAAAGCAGATCAATAGAGGAACTCCCCAGGGCAAAAGTAGCAGTGCTGTGCAAACCCCGGCCAACTACTGCCTGTTCTTGATCACAGCAGGCTGCACCTATGTACACCTATACCAATGATTTACAAGATTAGCAAGGAGCATCTATAAAAAGAGTTAGTTTATAGAGAACTAAATGTTCTTCAGTGCTGTTAAGAACAAGGTCCCAGCCCACCAGCACCCTAACAAATGGTGCCTTCACCTGTGATCCACGAGACGTGGGAGGAGTAGGTTCGAGAGAGCCAGTTGGGGGAGACAAAGTTGTGCAGCCCCAGTGCATAGAGCCCAATCTCAAAGGCGCAGAGGTGGAGGTTGCGGTGGGGCCCCTGGTGCCCACCACTGGAGGATGGGTGGGTGAAGATGGATGTGCTGCTGTTTCCACCTGCCTTGATAAGGACAGTCTTGGCCAGTTCAAAGTAGAAGTGAGCAGCTGCCTCCGAAGGCTGGTTTGGGACATGAGGCGCATGGCTCTCTGGCCGCCGCCCCTTGTACCTATAAAGACAGGATACAAGAGCCGCCAGTGGACAAATTGTTTAGCTGGAGTGCAAAAACTCCACAGGGTCAGGAGCTGACAAAGCAAGCTCCCTCTGGCAGACACTTCTCCTGTATCCATGCCAGGCCCCTCATAAAGAGACCAAGGTTGCATGCTATTTATGAGGGAATGTATGACAGCATACCTGCCAACTTCCACGGTCTTTGCACGTGCTCCACCACTGGCTCTCCTGCTGCCACTAGAGGATGATGAACCCAGCGAGTCACTTGAAGAGCTGCTGATGCTGTCACTGTCCTGCCCTCTGCCCCAGGAGGTAGCTGCCCAGCCCCCTCGCAGTGGCCGCCGACTGAGGGTTGGAGAGCTGTCAGAGGTCGTTTCGGGAGCACTGCTGTCAATGCTGGCCATGCCTACAACACCATAGCCAAATATGTCAATGGGCAAGCTCTGCCTCAGGTCAGCCCCACACCCGACTAAAGACAAAGCATTGAGGTAACTGACAGTGTGATCAGCCACAGAGCATTTTTCTTTACTAGGCTAAAATAGGAATACAAATAAAGAGTATAAATAGTTAACTTGCTGGTTTATCCAGCACCACTGTACTGAGTCCACAAGCTCCAAGTGATTAACCCAAGGCAAATGTCTAAGGTCCAAGTGCAATATTGAGCACTTCATATAACACAGAGAAATCTTCCCCACCCATAGTCCTAAGAATTACACCCCAGCCCAACCAATTCCCAGGTAGAGCTGCAAGAAGGGCAACAAGCTCACTCAGATTTGGCACCGAGCCCAAAAAACATAGCATCCTGCTCCATGGGCTTTAGCTCTGCAGGTTAGCCCTGCAGAGAGCTGGCACAGCTTTGGATACTGCAGGAATTAATGACTTCATACCTGTGTGTTTCTTTTTCTGTCGGACAGGTGAGCCCCAGCATCTTCCATTGTATCCACCTCTGCTTCCAAGAGCCAGACGACTAGGGACCTTCCCCTCTTGTTTCAAGACACTGGACTCCCCAGCTGGCTCACAAGGGGACCTCTGAGAGCTCTCTGCACAACGCACAAAAGTAAAAACATGCACAGAAACCAATCCTGAAACATGAAAAGCCAGATGTCTCTGCCCACATGAAAGCAAAAACACTGCCCCTCAGTAGAAATACAACTAGGTGAAGTGAGTGGGACTGTGAAGGATAATCCATCACACACTGGGGTCTGATGTTGATCCAGAGTAGCCTGGGTACGCTGATAAGTATTTGAGTTGCACATATATAAATCCAGGCTGAGGCTGAAAGTGCACTTTACATGGAGTGTTTCTGATCTTTCTCCATCCCCACCTCATTCACTCTAGAGCAGGGGTTGACAACCCCTGGCATGTGTGCTGAGCATGGCACACAAGGCCATTTTCCTCAGCATGCGCTGGGGCCGGGACAGGGAGGCAGCAGCTGTTTGCAGCCTCCCGACTGCAGCTGGCCCTGGCTCTGGGTAGCTGCTGCCAGCCAGGAGCCCAGGCTGCTCCCTGCAGGTAGGTGGGAGGCTGCAAGCAGCCCAGGCACCATAGCTGGCAGCAGCTACCCCAGAGCCTAGGCCAGTTGCAGCTGGGAGGCTACAAACAGCTGCTGCCTCCCCAGCACAGTGACAGCACCTGCTGCCTTCCCGAAGCCCAGGGTGGGGAGGCAGCAGCTGTTTGCAGCCTCCTAGCTGCAGCCAGCCCAGGTTCTGGGTAGCTGCTGATAGCCATCGACCCTGGGCTGCTCCCAGCAGGCAGCTGGGAGGATGGAAGCCCTGCTGCAAGCAGCCCAGGCTCCATGGCTATCAGCAGCTTCCCAGCCCTGGCCCCAGCTGTCTCCCAGCCCCAGATCCAGCCCTGCACTCTGGGGAGGCAGCAGACACCAGCGATGCTCCCTACTGTGCTGCCCTCACCACCGCTTCTGCAAAGTAGCGTGTGAAATATGGTGTAGCAGGGCACAGCAAGGGGCACAGAAAGCTGCCTGCCACTCCAAGCTCCCCACTGCCCTGGCCACACTTCCCCTTCAGGCGGGGGCAGCAACAAGGGGCACAACCCTGTGTGCTGCCCATGCTGCTCCCGTGCACACAGGGGAAGTGTGACCCAGGCAGCGTGGAGTTTGCAGCAGCAAGCAGCTTCCCTGTGCGACCCATCTGCATGCTGCCACTCTGGGTTGCACACACTGCACTCCAGAGGACCCAGGGGAGGGCAGCAGAGCAGGGAGCCGTGCCGAGGGCAGCACAGTGGGAAGCATCACCAGTATCTGCTGCCTCCCTGGGGCCGGGGCCACAGCAGATGTTTGCAGCCTCCCGTCTGCAGCTGGCCCAGGTTCTGGATAGGTTCTGGATAGCTGCTGATAGCCACTGAGCCTGGGCTGGGAGGCAAGGAGCACAAGCAGGGCATTCTAACATGTACCCCCTTCCCTAGTTTAGCTTTTCTGGCATGCCAGCACTCTGGCACCTTCCAAGGTAGGCACTGTATTTTTTTTCAGCACTCCAGCCAAAAAAACATTACCTACCCCTGCTCTAGAGGATCAGAATGTTACCAAGAAGCAAAAGCCAGGATTCATCTTCTGGCACAAACTTTTAAATGTAATTTGTTCCAATTACAGACATGGAGAAACATCCAAATCATCCTTTACCATATTATCCTTGTATCACAGTTATCACAAAGTGTTTTAAGTTTTCAATTACAACATGCATCAAGAGAACTGCATTTTAAATGGATCTTTATACAAAGACTAGCAGAAGAGTGAATAATTGTCCATTACTCTTTGGTAAAGAAACTTGAAGAGATTTTACACACGACAAGGGCTTTAAACAAAGCAATGTTAATCCCTCCTTTCATTCATACCTCAAAATTATTTTCTCTTTTAAAAGAAAAATCAAAAGGGACTTGCCCTTCCCAAACATGCCACAACTTTTTTTCCTGCAAATATGGGAACATATGGGAATGTATTAGAACATGTCAGGTGTTGCTAGAACATGCACATGCAGCAGACTCAAGAAACATGGGGGCATCAAAAACGGAGTTACTAAATTTAGCAAGTAAAGAACATGGTCTTGTGGTTCAGAACCAGCACGGGGCATGAAATGGACTGAGCTCAGTGACTGGCTGACACTGACCTGCTACCCATTTAGATGGGGAAGCTGGTGTGCAATAAGCTAGGGAATGAACTTACACAGCCACTCCGTTACCTCTCCATGAAAGGTACTCAACAGTACTCTAGTGTTATGTCACATCAGCCCTGGCTGCTTCTCAGAAGAAACAAGGACCTTAGCTTCCCTTCTCATCAAACAAGAACAGAACATTCAGCATGGCTCCACTGGACCAGGTATCTTACCCTGTGCACTCTTCTCCACAAAGCTTTCAGAAGGACTGCTCTGGACTGCAGCAGTTACACCTGCTTGCTGTGTGACTGAAGTCCCTGGAAGCTGCTGGATTGCTGTAGTGGATTGGGCAGCATGTTTGGAAGGAGATTTCTGATTGGCTACTGTGGGCTTGCTGGAAGAGTAGAAGGAACTCAGCGTCTGGGGCTTGTGCGTTTGGCTCTCTCTGTCTAGCAGTTTGTCTAAAATCTTTAACAGAGTGAGAAAAAAACCCCAGGGATTAGCAGATGAGTGAGAAACCACCAAAGCATTTTAAGGGATGTAAGCAAGATAGTCATTCAGCTTTAATGGACAAAATTAATTCCATTAGGTAACAGTTCAAACAAAATACACTCCCTGCTTCTTGGTAAAAAAAGTAGGCTCTGTGCCCTGAGCTCAGCCACCCACACACTGTACTCACATGACTACAACAGGGGTGGGCAAAATGGTGGATCTGGCTGGCAGCAGGACTCCATTTCCCAGCAGCCCCTGCCTGCATAGCTGGGGTGGTTTCCATGGAGCCCTAGGGCAAAGCTGGGGTTTCTGTGGAGACTGGCCCCAGCAGTATTGGCAGGGCGCAGAGCTGCTCCGGAGCCCAGTTGGGATCTTGCAGTGGTGACTGCGTGGTCCAGAGCCAGGGTGGAGCCGCGATCTGCAGCGTGCAGGCAATGGATCACAACTCTGCCCCAGCTCCTTGCAACAGTGACCATGAGGTCTGGAGCCAGGTCAGAGCCACGATCCACGATCTGCTGCCTGCACGCCCCTGCCCAGGGTATGCAGGCTGCAGATTGCAGCTCTGGACCACATTGTCACTGCCACAAGATCCCAGACTGAATCTGGAGCAGCTCCCCACCCTGCTGCATGCCCTGCCGGCAAGGACAGTGCTAGGGGATAGGCTTGCAGAGCTACAGCCAACCTAAAATTCCCCTTAGTCCCCTGTAGGCACCCCTCCTAGTGGCACGGCCACTGCCACCCGCCCTGCACAGGCAGCAGCAGCTGAGCTCCCCCCTGCTCCCACCCTCAGCACAGCACTCCACACCAGGAAGAGGCTGGCACTGCTAGTGCTGGGGCAAGTCTCCACAGAAACCCTGGTCCCACCTATGGTTGCTGCTGGGGTCTCCATGGAAACTGACCCAAGCCATATAAACAGAGGCTGCTGGGAAATGGAGTCCATTGCAGGCCAGATCCAGCCTATAGGGTGGACTTTACCTGCTCTACACCCTTATGTAAAGAAGCAGATTTCATACACACCATAAAAAACCCAAAAACAGTAGTTGCACTCATTGAAAATATGCCGTCATTCAATGTCAGACAATTCAGACAGTCAAAGAGTGGTTAAAGCACAGAACTAGGGTGATGGAGATTCAGATTCTATTCACAGTTTTGACTAAATTTAACAAGTGACCTTGACCAACTCACTAAGCTTATGCCTCTCATTTGTAGAATACTGACCTACCGCAAGTATTTTTATACATGAGAGGAATGCCAGTGCGTGAATTCTACTATTTTAAAAATTTTGAAGCCCCTTTTATTGGTAGCTACTGAGGAACATCTGTATGAAAACAACTTAAAAAATTGTGTCCACTTTTGCCCAGCCCTGACACGGAAATAATCAATTTTGATAACTCTGAAGATTAATATATACACAGTTGGTAATGTCACAGGCAGACAATTGCAATTAGTAATAGTAAAAAAAAAAAAGGCAGCAGAAGGAACTTTCCTTTAAGAGGAAACTTTTCTCCTGCCCTTTTCCCTAAGGCTAGGGACAGGCATTACACAAACCAGTTTAAGTGATCAAAAACTAGTTTAAACCTGTAACGGAACAGATGTTCAGTGTACATAAACCAGTTTCAGAATGGCTGAAAACAGTTTGAGATAAGCCTGGCTGAATGTAGTATCAGACTTAACTGATTTGGGTCAAACAAGTTTATGAGATGTCTGTCCCAGACCCCTTCCTGGTTAAAGTTAAACTAGACACCTCCATCATCCCAGCATGCCCTCTGGGCTGGGGGGCGCTGTCTGCTGGAACAGAGCAAAGCAGGGGTAGCCCCCACCCCTCTCCTTCCTAGCCAGAGCACTATCACTGCTCAGGCTGGCTGAGTGATAGCAGCAGCTGCCACACTTCCCCCTGCTCCACACCTCCCCCACTCAGCTGGCTGCTCAAGCAGGGATCCCCCTCCCACACCTCTCAGCAGGGACCCAGCATCTGGCCATACCCTCCCACCCCCTGCCCTCCATGCTAGCTAATACTGATGGGTGTCTGTGTGGGTCTCCAATTTCACTGGAACAAAGGGCAGAGAGCTAGTGGCTTGCAAATGCAAATACACCCTGCAGATAATACCCTGAAACTAATGAGAGAGATGTTTTCTTTTGTAGAGCTTGATGGGCCAATAAACAACCTGCTGCCACAATCCATCTTCAAGAGGGGACAGAGAAAGGTACTAAAAATGTCCTAGTTTGCAGATAGACAGTCTGAAGAAGCAGGAAGATGGAGATTGAAAAACTCCGTATCAACAGATGCAAGGTTTGGCAACACTCCCACCCCTTGAGCAGCAAGCAGCAAAAAGCCTGGGACAGTGCAGGCAGGGTGGGGAATTTAAACCCCTCACCAATCACAGCCTCCTGCAGGGCCCTCGTCACCCCCTCTTCAGCTCAGAACTGTTGAAGGGAAGGGAGGACTGCTCTAGTGCCCCCCAGCTTCTAGTCTGAGCCACTGCAGGCATGTGCCTGCATTTTTTTTCAGTCCAGAGGGGTTGTCTGGACAGTTACAAACTGATTCAGCCTAGGCAGGTTAGACTAACCTGCAAAGATTGAATCAGTTCAGGCTTAGGGAATGTCTGTCCCTAGTCTAAGAGAAGAAGAAAGCACCGCAGATATAGTATGTGAATAGAAGTATTTCTAAATGTAATAAGCATCAAAGTTTTCCTGGAAGCAACAGCAGCTTTTACTTTTACTGTACAATTGTCTTTTTCAACAGCATTTGAAAGAGAGGAGTGAATAGTATAATGGCACTGGGATATATTATGAAGTGAAATGTTTATTACACTTCTCTATTCATGTATCAGTCACAGGGAACTGCCACAAAGACCACACACAAAAAGCCCAACCCCCCCACACACAGGTTCATTACTTGGGTCAGGCAGAGAATGGAGGCCAATACCCTTGAGGTAGGTTGGAAGCCAGATACAGAATGGACATCAAAACCTTGGGCCAGATGCCTGTGAATGAGGGTACAGACCAAATGCAGGCAGCACACAGCAAGTTAGATAAGTAATACAATGAACCTTACCAGCCTGAGGGTGGAACCTGACAGTAATTCAAGAAGTCTAGACATGCAATTCTCAACCTCCTTGGACTTGAGGCCCCTCTCCATAACATTTGTAAATTGAGTGGCGCCCAATTTCAAAAACTATTCTATAGATTACTGTATCTACCTCCTTGCAGAGAGGCCAGGCAGTGGGAATGGACTAGTGCCTGAACCTGCTCCTATCGGAGAAAAGCCTGAATCTGCTCTTATCTGCTTAGTTTAACTGCTTATCTCCTAGCTTTACTCATCTCCTCACATCTCAGGGCACCCTTCAAAAGATGAGGAGGCACCCCAGAGTGCCCCACCACCCTGGCTGAGAATCACTGGTCCAAACATATTGACAATCCTGATTCTAATAACAAAACCAAACACCACCTGCCAAACAGTACTTGACAGATATCAGCTCTTGATTTTCAAGGGACACACCTTTTTGAGTTTAGACTGGTCGTCCTTGTAAGTGATCATCAGAGCTAGAGCCAGATCACCTTTCTCCCTGCGAGTGCCTTCACATAGCAGCGGATGCTCTGCTTCACTGACAGTTGTCTTCATACCTGCAGGACAGAAAAGAAGGATGAAGAGACAGGCAAACCCATGAAATTTAATCTCATCTGATGCATTTTACCTCCTTCCCCAGGCTGCTTTGCATACCTTCTGACTTCTCTGGTTAACAGGAGAAATAATTTAATGCTTTAAGTGTGGGAGCAGAAGTTCTTCCCCAGAACTCTGCACTTTGACAGCCAGAGCAATATGAATCTGACAGCGCTCAGTAAGAGCTTAAACCAGCTTGACACACTCCTGTCTTCAGCTAGACATGCCAACTGTTCACTCTTTGCCCCTTCCCAGGTTCTGCAGCTGCCACTGGCAGAAGTTCAAAAACCACCATGAATGCATCTTTCCTTCTGGAAAGATTTCTGCTAACAATCCATCCAACCCAAGACGATGCATACACAAGCTACTAACAGAGCATAGGCATGTGAACAGGTTACTGCAAGGTGTAAGGACAGTGAGGATTTACAGAATGTCAGCTGATCTGCAGTCACTGCTTCTGTGCATCCTCTTACCTATGATAGCTTCCCCTCAGTGAAAGACGGGTGAACTACCATGGATTAGCTTTTGTCCACCACAGGTCTGCATGCAGTTACTGCAGAGAAGCTGGCATTCTGTAAATCCCCACTCTCAATTACTCTGCAGTAATCTGTATGACAGGCCTTTACGCATGTGTACATGCTACTACAAGCCTGCAAGTGACCTGGAGGCCAAGAATTAGGTCATTTACTAAGACCAATTGAAGCAACTGACTTTTGTTCTTTGAACATTTCCCATTCCAGCTATTCATTCAGCATTTCTTTCAATCTTCCTTGTTGCTGTTTGGCTTGAACACACAGTACTTCTGCCAGCCCACCAGTCTGTTCAAGTCCTTAACTGCGTTCTCCCTATCAACCAGTTCTGCCTAAAGACCTCAAATATGACATTATAAAGATCCCCAACATTACCCAAGTCCCAGACTCACTTCACCAGCTCCAACAAAATTCTTCCAAAATGCATTCATTTCCATAGCAGATTGGACACAAACCAACAGGACTTAAATCCTGTTGCCCAAAGTAGCCTGAGATTCATAGCATGAATGAGAAACAACTTTTTTCTTCACAAGGTAGAGGTGAAGAGAGCTGAATTCTTACCTAGAGCAGCGACAGCTGCCTCAAAACCAAGCTCTTCGTCCCCAGGCATTTCATTATTCCAATTACGGCTTGGGGGCCTGGACCCTGTAGGAGAAACCACTGGAAAGAGACAGACTAATCAATGCTCGGCTCTATAAAGGTAGAATCCCAGGGCAGAAAGCATTCCTGGCAGCTGTCTGGACTCGTCACATTTCCCATGCTCCCATTCTAAACCATCAAGTAAGACCCGAGGTCAGAGCACTGCCTCCAAGCTTTCTCCCTCCATTTCTAAACTAGACCCCTCCTAGCTTATCCAGCTCTGCTACAGAAGCGGGTTTAGTCACAGATTCTCTTTTTTGGTGGTTAGTGAATGCGTTTCCCTCCAGCCCAAGTAGCACTGGGGCCATAATCACTTGAAAAGAACCATGATTTTTTTTTATAGGGCAAAACCAGGGTCCCCAAAACAGTAAAATTCAAACTCTTTTTGATGGAGGGGGTCCCAGAAAGCATGTCTGTTCTATCACAGTGCAGAGAGATCCACAGCAATGTGGAGGGAACTGCAGCAGAAAACCGAACCTTGGCAGTAGACTGCAGGGACTGTCAGTAGTGCTGCAACCATAGTAAAGCAGGTACAGGTTTGGTCCGAAAGCCTCTTTTGGTCCCCAAGGTTTGGAGCCCCTTGTGCACACAAACCGATGGGGACAGTACCTGGAGTGCACAGGACATCAAATATAAAGCTGGCCAACATGAGTGGCAGGACAGGGCGATAATCACACAAGGTTCCCTCCCTCAGCTCTTCAGCCCTTCCTCGAATAGTGTTCATCTCATTAGTGCCCAAGGGGATCTTCTTTAACAAGGCCACAATCTCAGACTCCTGGTATGCCAGCTTCACCTGGGGGTGCCCACAAGGAAACACAAGAAGCAGCCATCAGCAGAGACCCCCAGGTACACAACCATCCTGCCCTACAGATATTCAAGCGCAGAAAAAGTTTAGATCGATTCAGATTACATGCCTTGTAATCCACTGAACTCTAAATCACCCTTGCGTTCTTCCCCCTAAGCAGGCACAACAGTGAGGACAGACCGTGCTCAGCTGGAGACAGCTGCATAGGATGTGCAAGTCTAGACTACTTCCCTATGCACAACTCAGTCAATCACAAATCACTCTGAAGCCTGGCTGGGAGGAAGGTGGAGTCAGTCTTCACCAGGACATACTGAAGAGAAGGTTGCAGAAGGTTGCTACCTTATGCAATACAACAGCTTGAAACAGAAGGGACTATCCAGGAGTAGAACAGGGCCAAGGACATCAATATTCAACTGAAACAAAGACTGTCATCTCATAGGATATTATACCTTGCTCTAGCCTTCCTAACGCATTAGGACTGGAGGAGAACAGTTTAGGTTAGTGACTGTTAGCCCCACATTTAAGGGTCTCGCTGAGCCCATTACATACAAGTGTAGGCCACCTCAGAGAAACAAGTTTATTTCTTGATAGGGCTCAGCAAACTTGTGCACTTCTGATGGAAGCACCACCTCTGTGTGGTCAAAAAAAATTGACAAGAGCTTCAAATCAAATGTGCAAAGTCTTGAACCTAATTTTAAGACAGGGGCCCTGAGAGCAGTAGTTAACCATATATGTAATTGTGCACCCAAAACTGTGTATGCATTTATACATCCAAGTATAAAAGGTGGGCAGGACTTACTGCCTGTCTACATGCACAAACTGCAGCAGTTTACCCTGAGGTGTAAATGATTTAGTCCAGAAACACATACATCAGTTTAAGAGTGGCTTTTCAGTTTAGCTTAAACCTATAAGGAACAGATGAGCTAAATGGAAGCAAGCCACTCAAACCAAAATCATGTGCTAATTAAAACTGGTTCAAACTCCAACTTAAATAATGTTGGATTCACCACTGAGAACAAGTCTATGCAACTTTCTGCGGAGAAGACCTAAGCCCTCTTTCACTGAAGATTTGGCTTAAGGTGCATGTGAAGTAGAAGCAGCCAGTACCAACAATTTTAGGTAAATCAACAACCCATTCAGGATCCTCAAGGTATCATTTGGCTCCCTAGCAACTAGTTCTGAAGGCAGGACCAAAAACAAGGAACTCAAAGGGGGAAATCCCAGTACTGCTTGTGGGTATGGCCCTTTTACGGGACACTTCCTACCTCCAGGGCTTTGGTAGAGGCTGGTGGCCTCTGTAGCTCCAGGGCAAACATGCCGATGCGGAAGGCAAGGTTGTGATACTCCAGACGCTCACTCAGCACAGTTAGCAGGAAAGCAGCTTTGGACAGGGTGTTAGTTGCCATCCATGTCTGCTTGCTGGTTGACACCTTGTTCTTCTTCCCCTGTTTAAGGAGTACACTTTTAACACTCACTTCATAGAAAGAAATTCAACCCAGGTGTGATGGTGTGACCCTGGCCCACCCTCCCCATCTGACAGTTCAGGACATCTCTTGCTTATTTTCCTGGAAGCACTGTTTTCTCCTGCCTCTTAACTACCTTTGCTCCCCACCCCCCTTAATGCCACAGTTTCTCAGATAGTGAAGTAGGGACGCAGTTTAGCACTCTCTCCATGTGCCAGGAAATCCAGTCTCCAGTGGCTCTAGACACACTTTTCCACGGCTTCTTTCAACCTCCACTCCCATACAACAACATAAGTGTGTTTTGCCTTCTTTCCAACCAGTCAATCAGGATCAACTGGTGGATCCTGGAGCCTCTTGAAGTCAATCCTGAGCTATGGGGGCCGAGCACTTGCATGCCCCTTTCCCCACCCCCCGCAACCCCAAGCAGTTCAGTAGGTGGGGAAGGGAAAGGGCTGAGGCCTGGGGGGTATGTGCAGCAGGGCTTGGGATGCAAAGCCTAGCCCGCAACAGTGGCCGCCTCGGCAATGCGCAGACTGCAGGGGCACGTGTTCCCCCAAACATGGGGCAGTGCCAGCAGCTCTGAGGTACAGAGTGGGGCTGGGGCAGGGACAGGTCCTGTATAGCCAGGGTGGGGCAGATGACAGAACCACAAGTGGCTCATCCAGGGGGCTCAGGGAGGGAGGTGGGGGTGGGAGAACACACAGCCCAGAAGGGTGCAAGGGGGGGCATGTCTCCCAGGATCGGCACATGGGGCAGGGCAGGTTGGGGCTCTTCCCAGGCTGGGCTGTGCTCAGGCCAGGTGGCTGCGGCAGGAGTGAGGCTGTAGCCCCCACAACCACTGCACTGCCACTAAGTGCAGTGCAGGCCAGGCCTGGCAGCAACAGCCAGGCGCAGCCTTCTCCTCCACCCAAGGGCTGGTGGGCACAGCGCAGGGTGGGCTGCAGCTGTGGGCTGGAAGGCTCTACTGGGCTGTTCCCACCAGGCCTGGCCCACACTGCGCTCGGTGGCAGCACTAGGAGCAGGGATTAGGGGGGCTACAGCCCACCCCATGGCCCTGCTCCCAGTGCCACCGCTGCAGCTGCCCAGCTTGAGTGCAGCCTGGCCGGGAACAGCCCAGTGCTGCCCCGGCCCCAGCCTGCAACCCGCTTCACCCCACAGGCAGATCCAGGGGCATGCCCCTCCCCCCAGTGCCCTCCTAGACTGCATGCCCCCCACTCCCTGCACCCCCTGGACGAGCCACTCATGTCTCCATCCCCTGCCACAGCTGTGCAGGGCTTTCCACTCCCTCACTGCCACTGGGGGCAGGGGGGGGGGGCTAGGGCTGGAGCCACAATCTGCAGCAGAGCCTGCCAAAACCAAAATGCTCTGGCTCTCAAACGCTCAACTTACAAAGAGCTTTTGCTCTACTTAGGTATAAAGCTGCAATAAAGGCAAATCTATTCTTGGTGCTGGTTTTTAAGCCATGCAGGACACAGACACAAGGACCATGTAGACATACAAACATGTTAGAACATGTTGTGTTCAATTTGATAGTTAAAACAGAAGGTGTAGATTAGGGCTGTCTGACTTCCACGTGGCTCAGGGCCACATGCCCTGGAGGCAGCACCACAGAACCCAGTCCCCTTGGTCCACCCGACTCAAAGACACCCTCCACCACAAGCTCATGATCCCCTGCCTGAACTGTGCACCCACAACACCATGCCCACTGCTTCACCACAGGCCCTTCAATACTATGCACCCCAGGCTCACCCTCAGCTCCCCATGCTGCCATAACTGCCCCACCCTCTGGGGTGGGGACAGGAAGCAGAAGCTAAAAGGGAGAGCCCAGAGACTCTAGCTGCTGCTGCAGCCAAACAACAGAGGGGTGAAGCAGCAGCTGGCCAAACCCCAGAAGTCCACAATTTAACTCTTTGCAGGCTGCATTCAGCCCATGGACCACCAGCTAGACAGCCCTGGTGTAGATCAAGGGTGGCCAACTTGCAGCACATGAAACAAGTGGTACATGCAGCCTCCATGTGTAGCGTTCGGGGCAGGGGACAGAAGTGGCACTCGGGGCAGGTGCAGGATTCAGCATGCACCACACTTGCCAAAAAAGTATCATCCCTACACTGATGCAGATGCACACTGATCCAACAGGGAGAGTTGCTCATGGTGGCTTCCTAAAGACAAGGCCCAAGGCTAGGTAGGGACAAGTGGAGGCCAGAGAAAGGAAGGCAACCAGGAAAGAATGAGATGTAGGTTCTAGTGACTGGTGATTTGAGACTCCCTTCCTCTCCCCTACATACAGAACCACCCATTTTTTTGCCAAGTAAACTACTGAACAAGCAGAGAAGCCTAATCCAAAAAACGGGTTAAAAGGCAAGTTCAAGCAAAATGCAGCCATATTTAGAGGGATTTCAGTGACTATTGCGCCTCAGCATCTCTGAACAGCAAAGTTTCATTCTACAGCCCAGTGAGGGTTTCTGAATCCAGGCAGCCCTGCCTACTCTCCCTTCCGCTCACAATGCTGGCAAGCACTCCCTCTACCTTGGTTGGTGGCTGCTCCACCTTGAGATCAGGAGGGTTGGCCAGTAGGTCCCTGGCCAGCTCTACAGTTAAGCGGCAGGCTTCGTTACTGTATCCATGTGCATAGAGTGCCTCTGCACAGGCAAAGAGGATCTGCAAACAAAGGGACAAATTATCAGATTCAGCCCGTTTCCCATGGCTAGTCTATCTTAAGCACTTTCTCTCAGTGTCACTGAAACCTAAGTTCCAAGCTGACCTCAGTTCAGGCTTGGCTCAAATGCTTGTAGAGCCATGTCTTCTTGCATATAGCCCCTGTCCCCTTCCCTCAAAGCACCAACACAATGGAATGGGAAAAAACACAGTGGTCAAAAATGAACCCAATCTGTCATGTTAACTATTTCCATTTACTTTGCTTTTCTTAGCATCCTACTTCTTCTGCCATCCATTGGCACAGTCAGTCTGCAAGTTCTATGAACGTTTCCAAGGGCTGATGGCAGAGTCTGTTATAGTTGCCTGTCAGTTCCCACTATTCAACTCTGTTTTCATTTTCTTATACCTTAGCCAGCCTTTATCCTGTAACATCTGCCCACACCTTAGGGCTGAAGTCTTCCATGTTCAGTGTCTGCCTCAATTTAAGTTTCCTCTAAAATAATCCAGCCATTTCCAAGAAGGCAGAAGAAAACACTCTGCTTTGCTAACATTAAAGGACTCAGACAACCTTTCATCTGATAAATGCTGGTGCCCCAAAGCTTTGGAGCAAGCACCTAAGATTTGGCACTGGGAAACGGGGATTTGTCATTTGCCATCTCTGTGAAAATCTGCCCATTTGGACAAGGTGTAAGCATTAGGAAAGCAACTGCAGTTCACACAGAGTCTGTAGAGACTTGCTAATGCTCACAGCTAGTGAACACTTCAAGAATTATGTCATGAATTGACATGCTCCAGTTCAAGGGAAAGCAGGACTTCTTTGTGCAACTGTCCCCCTGGACTGCTGTCTGCCATCCCAAAGCCAGACAGCAGAACCCAAAGAAGAGAACCTATCTTTCCTGTGCTCTCCACATCTGCCCTGCTGGGTACAATGAAACAAGGATCCTGGGGCAAAACTGAAAACTCGTGGGAGTGTGGAATACTTGGAGTGGGGGTACGGAGTTAGGGTGCTGAGAAACTAGGAGTCGCTGAGCACATAAAATGGATGAGGACCCATATAGGACTGGCTCAATGACCGGAAAAGGATGAACAGGGGAGCAGCATCTTAGGGTTAGGAAAGAGGCAGCATTAGGACCACTGAAGGGGGTGGGGAAAAGGGACACATTTGAGAAGAACGGACACTGGAACATACTCCAGTGCAGAACTTGGAAGGGAACCAAAGTCTCACTGCTACTGGGCCATCAGGCAACATCTGTGCAACATCCTTGCAAAAGCATCAATTCTCAGCTTCCTACTTACTAACGGATTTACAGAGGACAACATCTACTATTGCAATCATTTACACCAATACCTCAAGTGGAAAGGCCTGTGTGGTAGATTGAAAATTTCCAGTCCTGCTGATCTACTAATAAAAGTGTCATCTTGTGGCTCAGTTTTATTTTATTTAATAGCACACACCTAGGTAGTTAACACACATATTACATTACAAAAATAGTAAGGCTGAAAAAAAAGTCAAGTACACAGGAGTTAGGAAATTCAATAATGACAGTGCCCCTGTGATTTTTATTTCAGCTTTTTTAAGCGTATGTTTTATATGATAAAGTCTTTAATCACATATAATGTACTTTTAGTTGTAGCTTTGAGACCTCAGCACTTCTGCAAACCAGTCAGGCACCCAGAAAAGAAGTCACATAATTAACAAGGCCATCTGTAAAAACTTGGTTCAGACTTGTTCAGCATCACATAGGAAGTGTGTCAGAGGTAGACACCAATTCTCCAGGGCAGCGTTCCATTGCCTTAATCCTGGGACCTTCCTTTCTCTTCCTGCAGGTCTGTCTCACTCACTGTATACCTTCTAACTCCTGCAAAAAGTAAGGCAGGAGTCCCACCTCTGTATAATCTCCACTACACAAGTCTCATTTGTCACCAACAGTCCATTCTGTGCACTGACTGAACCATAGGCCCTGTAGAGAACATTAATGATAGGATCTATAACTGATGGTGGTATCATGGTTTACACCATCAAGGAGACTGAATTAAGGTTGCCCAAACAGCCTCAATTTAGGCTTTTCCTAACTTCTGAATACTTGATTTTGCAACTGCAGCAATACACTTTTAACAGTTTGCGTGTGCAATACATACAGGAAAATTAAAACACCTACACATTACAATTTTGCAACTAGATTTTCTCACCTCCATTCGGTTTTCCTGTTCCAGTGGCTTTATGCCCGCAAAGACATCCTGCTCCTCTTCATTGCCTACCTCTGCCTTGTCATCCTCCTCCTTGGCCACCTCCTGTGGATTCATATAGTACACCTGGTAATCATCTTCCTCCTCCCCTTCATCCCCTCCCCCAGCTGCACCATTCTCTCCCACTTCTTCTGGCTTCAAACTTGCACCACCGCTGTTCTCATCTGCAGAAGGCAGATCATCATCCCCACTGCCCATTTCTCCCACAGGATCCTTTGGAGTTTTCTTGGCAGTGGGAGTACTCCTGATGCTGGGCTCAGGTCCCTCAGAGAAGTACACACCACCGTCATCCTCAAAAGTGTCCCTGTAACTCCTGCTCAGGGAGCTCTCAGTGAAACTAAATGTATTGCTGGCCTCTGCTCCCAGAGCTAAGCTGCTGTCATCCAGGCTCATCTCTGCCAAATCCGGCTCCAGAGAGCTGTCTTCGCTGCTCATGCGTCGTTTCCCACTATGCTTACTGGCCAAGCTTTTCCCTACTGGCAGCTTGGCTTTGCCCACTGTTGTCTTATAAACTGCTTTATCTCCTTCTGCAGAAAGTCGCCTTAAAACCCTCTGAGGAGCATCAGAGACCAGTTTCCTCTTCCCAATGAGCTCCTTCGGACGGACAGCTGGTTCTTGAGAAGACGGACGGGTTCTGTCCCCTGGCTGCAGACACATTCCTCCAGATTCCTGTCCAGGGGTTCTACCAGCCTCACAGGTGGTTTCCACACACTGCAACCGGCAGTTCCTTTGTTGAATGGCCTTTACCCAACAGAATGAGTTCTTCTTGTCAGTGCTGCTGTAGGTAATCCCAGGGATGGGATACGCCTCCTCCCAGTTGAAGTAACAAGCTTCAACAGCTGGCTTGAAACCCTGGAAGAGTTTCTCCAGGGATTTCTTGTGCTGTCCTCTCTTGACGTTATCTATGACCTTCAGCTGCCACTGTCTGAGCTGGGTGCAAAGGTCCCTGCGCCTAGTGGGGAGGAGGAAAAGGACAGATCAGAAAGGAGCCACAAAATGCACTAACAACAGACTACCCTCAACTCATAGAATACCTCTGTCAAGAGCCTCTTCTGCTGAGTTAGTGTAAACAACATTAATCCGTCAGAAAATTGTCTAGGGAAAGGAAATAGACAAGTCAACAATCAGCTCCTAGCTAGGCCAGTGCCACAAAAGCAAAATGCTGCCAAGTCAAACTTGAAAATTTGCAGCAAGTTGGGAGTTTAGGGTGAAGCATTGCAAGCTGCAACGCAGTTAAACCTTGCAATTACCACATTGGAGTCGTGACCTTTGACACTGCTGAGATACTAAGGCACTAGTTCCAAACAGGGTGCCACAAGTTCCTTTCCTCCCCACCCCCACGGGGTGCAACAAGGCAAGCACTGAATGCCATGGCAGCAGCCAGGTCAAACTCCCCTGAATACACACTCCTGCTGCATTAGGACTGCGATGATCCTAAGCAGGCAGAAGCTGAGCTGCTATAGCTCTCCCAGTCCACCCCCTCCCATGCTCCTCCCAGAAACAGATCCACCCATCCACCTCTGTTTCCAGAAGGAGCACAGAGGGGACAGACTGAAAGGGACTACACAGCATAAGGCAGCTCTTGCCTGCTTCAGGTCAATCAAAGGATCATAGAGGAACCCCCCCTCTGAAGAAATATCCCGCCAATAAATCAATAATGCAGCAGGACTCTGTGTGCATGTGCATAGACTGGCTGTTCAGCGGGCATACAGGGCAGTTTTACCTGAAGGCAGCAGAACCAACTGAGAAGCACTGAAGTAAACTGAGGCAACACTAACAGTGGTTCTCAACCAGAGGTGCCATCACATTCAGAAAATGGCAAAGCGTGTCCTGTCCCCGAAGAAGCTGAGAACCACTGCACTCAGGACTACAACAGGGAACTGCTGCATGTCCAAACTGTGAACAACTAGCAAAGAAAATTCAAATGGTTTGCATAGCTCTTAAAGCTAATACTTCTACTCAAGAATATCAAATCCTCCTCCCTTGAGTATTAAAAGCCTACACAGTCAGGTTCATAGTTAGTGACAGAAGTGGATGATCTAGCTTGGACTTCTATATAAAGCCCATTATTTCACCCAGATACCTCAAGAGTGAGCCCAATAACTTGAGTTAGTCTCTTGAGGATTGACAAGTTGGAGTCTAACTTGTTCACAACAAGCAGAAAACTAGAGAGACCAAGGCATCACCATTGCCCAGGGCCACTGCAGTAGAACTGATTAGGTAGGGTATGCCCAGATGATCCTAGCAGGTAATCCCAGACCCAAGCTAGAAGAGGGTGAAAAATGGAAGATCCCATGACAATCCAAGCCAGGAAAAATTCCTTCCCAACCTCAGTTTCACTTTGACCATAAGCATGGAGAGAGTAACTAGAAAGGAGCAAATGCATTCCTAAATCACTAGGCAAATCCAAATTTCTCAACACAGCTCTACTACAGGCTCCAAAGACAGGACTTACACACACAGACCTTCTCAATCTTTTTAGTCTCAAAAGCAAAATAACATGGAAGTACACCGAGTAAGGGTGTTAAGCATTAAGTCTCAAAGCACATTAGTCTGGGATAAAAGGAGCTCTACAAAATGGACTGCTTCCACTTGACTGCTAAGCAACCCAGTTAGCTAGCGAATAGGCTGACATGGATTAATCAAATAGGCTTTGTAGCAGAAAGGGGTGGAGGAGTTACTCAAAGAAAAGGTAGCAAAAGGCTGTGGGGGAACCTGCAACAATTTAGGAAGAGTGAAGCAAGTCTAATTGCAATCCACTGGAGAAACCTGAAGGAGTGAGAATAAAAAGCTACAAAGAAGCTGAACCAAGGCAGAACATATCCCCTTTGGTGACTGTATTGAAATGGCAGGAGAATGGGAAAGGAAAAGTAAAAAACACCTGAATCATCCATGACAAAAGTAGGAACTTTTAGTAATTTGGAATGCATCAAATGACCAGAATGTTAGGAGATTCACACACTGCAGAAAAGGGAAGATATGAACAAAGAACTTGTTTTACTAACAGTGTGACATGACTCACTGTTTTAAGCCTTCATTCCTGGTTTCCTACTGGCTTCACTTTGTCTACCTTAAGCTTTTATACTGTAAATTCTTCAAGGCAGAGACAACATCTTTTTAAGGAGATGTACCCTAAAATTATGACATTATATTCATGTTCAATGATAGTTAAAAGATTAAGAAGTGAGCAAACACTTAAAAATATGCCAAAAATACTTTTTTCCTTCCAAAAGCTTAAGGTTAGCTTTTCCAATGTACAACAACTTATACTAGAGCACGCATTGCATGATATTCTGCTAAATGCTGCATACTGTAATTTGCATATTTTGCAAACCAAGGTATCAGTGTGCAAAACTGAACCTGAACATCAAACATCAAAACACCACCTGCTATTCAAATTTTAACTAAATGGAGAAACCGGTTATTTGTGCATGTTAAGCAACATAAAATGCTTTAGGATGAATTGTGATACTTCTGATTCTCCTGAACTCATGACTGCCCTGAACAATTCCACAGACAGACCAAAATGATCACTATATGTGGGACTTGTCACTATATGTTGTTCCTTGGGACTGTAGAAAACGTAACAGTTACAATCTTGAACAGAGTAAGAACAGATAATTTTTTGGGTATACAAACCTGTGAAACTACTAGCAAAAAATAACAGATTTAAAACATAATCGATTAGAAATGCAGTCATCTAGCAGGCTTTAACCTAAATAGATTTTTGAACCAAACCATGTCAAACTGACCTGTATAAGCCCTCTCAGTACCGACACTGGACAAGAAGGCAGGTGAAAACTGCCAATGTAATTGACCTGAGTTTAGAAAGGTACTTGACAGTACAACTTAGCACCACTGGAAATAGAGAAGCATGATTTTACTGATGCACTAAGGGTGATGGATTAACAAGAGCAAGTGAGCTATCAGAATGGGGTAGACCAGCATCCTTTAATATATTAACTGATAATAAAGAATACACATATGGTATTTAGGATTCAAACCAGCAATCTACACTAAGCTAGAAGACACAGCAAGGAAAGCATGATAAAACCAAAAACACAACTGAATATAAACAATTTTGCCATTTGGTTGATTGGTGTGGTCTGAGAGTCAATGCAAAGTAGTACTAGATAACAAGAAAATACAGAAATATTATGGCTGAACAGGTCTGGGGTATAATTGAACAGAACTGTTCAGTGCAGTGCTATTCCAGAAAGACACTTCCACTGTACCAGGAAAGCCTTAAGTGCAAGCCAAAACTCACATTTAAGGGATAAAAGGCCATGAATATTACAGAGAACCACATAAATACAATAGGGTTTAATGCAAGAGCAGTGAGGACAATTAGAGATAAAAGCGATTAAGGTTACCTTGAACACCAATATAGACCATAAGAACTTACAACTGAACTATATGCTTTAATAACATAATACACTTGCTAAACATCTAAGGATAGGGTGGTAAAGTGCAATTGTGCCCAGATGCCACAAGGATAAGCAGGACTGAATAGCACCACTTAAGGAACTTTACCCGCCAGGTCTTGGCTCCAAAGATTATCTGACACTTATGCTTACCTCTGTGGGCTGATGGTTGGATCTAGAACAGCCAGCCTCCAGAGGACCACCATCTCATCACACATACTGGCACAGGCATGAGCAGCCACCTCAGACTGGCCATTACTGCGCCCAGTATGCCCACTGGCACTACTGTGAGATGCAGATGTTCGCACACTGTACCACCAACCAGTTATCTGCAGAAAAAAGGACATTCAATGGAGCCATGCCTAGACAGCCAAACTCTCTTTCACAATTTCTGGAAACATATCACAGACGGAAAAGAAATAAATATATTCTGTTGTTAAGTTTGCAGTGCCTGAAAGCCAGGAGAATTAAAAAAATCCAGCACAGACATAACAATAAAAATTGCCACTAGCTGCTAACAGTTAGGTGCCCCATGCAAGAATTTGATAGGCTCAGACTGGTTCCTAAAGGGCAGATACCCAGGTAGTAAGTCACTAAGACTAGCTTTTCTGTCAGCAGCCTGAGAGAGCAAGGAATGGATATGAAGCATGAAACCTTTGATCCCTTGAATCTACAGATGAGATGCATCGGGGCAGGCAAAAATACAGCTCGCAGGCTGCATCCAGCCCACCAGGCCATTCTATCCGGCCTGCAAGGCCCCTAAAAAATTTAGAAAATGAATAGTTATCCCCTCCTGGCTGCCTGTCAAAAATGACAGGAGCCAGGGGCAGTCGGACCCAAGGGAAGCCAGTGGTAGGACCATGCAGCCCAGCACCAAGGCCCACCTTCCCTCCCACTCCCCAACCAGAAGCCCTGTGCCCCATGCTTCCCAGAGGCTCTGGCTGTTCCCACTCCCTGCACCAGAGGGAAATTCAGATAAGAAGGCAGGGGTGGGGGGGGTGAGGGGAAGACCACGAGTGATTGCCTCAGTTCTTGGGGCCAGGCCGGGATAGCTCCTGCTGAGTCCTGCCGTTACAGCCATGTTGCCAGCCACTCCACGTGGTGCTGGAGTGGCTGGCAGCAGGCAGGAAAGCAGTGAAATAGCAGCTACAGGCAGGGTGCAGTGGCAGTGAGCAGGCATGCGGGAATGCAGCAAGAGCTGAGTGGGAGCACAGAGCCAGTGCTGGCGGGGCCAAGAACAGGACAGCAGGAGTGCAGGACCCCTGTCCCCTCCCCACTCCAGCATTGCTGGTGTCAGACCCCACACTCTTGCTGCCCCTCTAGAGCTAGCCCCAGCACACTGGTGCAGGACCCATGTTCCTGCCAAGCTGTAGCTGTACTCCCGCACGCCCGCTCGCTATTCCTTCCCCTGTCTGTAGCTGCCATTTCCCTGCTTTCCTGCTGGCTGCTCCAGCATCACATGGCTCCCAACTGCACGCCTGTGACTGCTGGAACAGAGCCCATGCCGGTACCCTGGAGCCAGGAGGGGAGTTGGGGAAAAGGGGATGTGCAGGGAGAGAAGGTGTGAGTGAGTGAGTGAGTGAGTGAGTGAGTGAGTGAGTGAGTGAGTGAGTGAGTGAGTCCCACACGTACACCCCACCATACATATGCAATTACACCCCATCTTGCACTGCCATACACTCACCCCCCCACACACACACCAGCCACCCTCCTCCCCACACATCCCCCCACAAACTCAATAGCCACCAACACCCCACATATCCACATGCTGCCTTACCCCATGCCCAGATGGCTACCAGGGGCTGGGGCACCTGTCAAGGGGTGGAGCTACCCATGTAGCCCTCAACATCTTGCCAAAACTCAGTAAGCAGCCCTCCACCTGAAATAAATGCCTGCCCCTGAGGTATACAATAGGATAATAGGGAAAAAACGGATACTATAGCTGTTCTTGCTTACATCTCTACTTACAGAAAGAAGATCCATCTCCTAGGCTGTCAATATCAACCTTTTCTCCAACAATAAAATTCAACCCAAGTTCACGGAAATTATTTTCAATTAAAATTATCAAAGTCTAATGAATTGTGTCAAATGGCAGAATTTCAAAGCCAACACACAAAAAAATATTGTCCAAATTAGAGGTGTACTGATACATCGGTTCAATATTGGACTGGTACCGATAAAGAAAATTGGCTGTATTGGAAGTCGGGCTAACGTGGCTGATAATTTGGCCAATACATGCCTGTGCATGCACATAGCTGCAGCACAGTATGCAGGCAGAGAGGAGCAGAGACCAGCAGCATGCAGTTGGTAAGTCTGTTGTGGTAGAAGTGGAGGGGGGAGAGAAGGGTCATGGGGGGACAGATCAGTGCCCACCCACTCCCCCTCAGTGAAGGAGGGAAGGGGCACGAGTAGCTGCTGCCCAGCTGGGGTAGGGTGGGCACAGGACAGAGCTGCGGCTAATGGGGGGGGGCGTTTCCCTCCACTGCACACACCCTGGGAGGACATGGGAGGGGTCTACGGAGGGGGCTGTAGCCACCCCAAATTTCACCTTAGCCCTCTCCTGGCACTGCTGCTGCCTACCCAGCACAGCCCTGGCTCAACCCTTGCCTCCCCCCACATGCCAGGAAGAGCCGGGGCTGCACTGTGCAGGTGGTGGTGGCACTGGAAGCTGGATCTGGTGAAATTTGGGGTGGTTGTGGAGCCCGGCACAGCCCCAACCCCAGCCTACCTGCCCAGGGCAGATCTGGAGGCATATGTTGCCTCTCCCCCACAGTGCCCTCTTGAGGCACACCCAGCAGCGGGAGTCACCCCCCTCCTCCACGAGCCAGTTCCATCCCACGCCTGCCCCACCCCATCTAAGTAGCACCCACCCCGTCCCCTCCCTCACCATGGGGGGCATTGATCTGCCCCCTCCACACCCCTTCCCTACTCTGTCTCCTTCCACCATAACAGACTTACCAGCAGCACGCAGCTGTATCAGAAATCGGTTTGGTATTGGACAATTTGCCTCCTTAAATATCGGCTACCTGTATCGGCCCCCAAAATCTCTATTGGTGCACCCCTAGTTCAAGTGCACCTTATTTTAAGGTAATCCATGGAATAAAACTGCACCGATCAGACAGACTATGCACAGGGGAAAGGTCAAGGTAAAGGTGTTGAGAAAATGGCTTCGTGTTGATGTTAGGACACATGACAACCCCAACATCCAGTGAAACTGGTATCATTGAAGAAGCACTCAGAATACCAAAAAGCAAGTTGCTTTAGTGGCAAGGGACTACTCCCATAATGCACTTGCAAGGCACAAAACACCACTGGAATTGTTGCCACCTTTGGTTAGCTCCCCCAGTCACTGCTCTGCTCCCCCACAAGGTTTAAATACCTGCTCATAAGTCAGACACTGGTCAGTTAGGATCTCCAGCAGAGGGGCTGCATTGCTATCTCGCCTCTTAAACATCTCTCGGACAATGGACAGCAGATTCCAGATCCCCTCGGGCTCTCTCCCTCTCAGGGGACGAAGGAGACACGCCCATTCAGCAGCAGCTGGTGGCTCCGTGGAAGAGAGGTACATAGAGTTCACATCACTGAGAGGGGGAAATGGAGAGAATAAAAGAACAGAAGACAAGATAAAGCACAGCAGCAAAAAACAGGGACAAAGCTGCACAATGGTATATATTTACATGCATCAGTTTTGCAGGTTGAAAAAGGCAGAAGGAACCACATCTCACTGAAGAAACACAGTGCAATAGGAGTCAGAGAGGAACAAACAAGTAACATACATTCTCAACTCCAGAGAGGATCTTATTTACTAGACAGATGAAAAACTGGAAGGGTGACCTAAAATTAAAAATCTTGAGTTTCAAGGCATCATACCAGTTTAACACTACAGGCCATAAAGTAACCAAGAAGATAATTCCCTAGACCAGGGGTGGGCAAAATGCAGCCCGCCAAGCCATTCTATCCAGCCTGCAGGGCCCCTAAAATATTTAGAAAGTTAAATATTTATCTGCCCTATGCTGCCCATCATGCAGCCCTCAATGGCTTGCCAAAACTCAGTAAGCAGCCCTCTGCCCAAAATAATTGCCCGCCTCTGCCCTAGACTCAAAGTCCCTGTTATGTTTCATGTGTAGGCAGGGATGATTATTACTCTGATGAGGAGGCAATTTACCTGAAAACAACAGGAGAGGGCCCACAGAATTTGTGAAGGGTTTTCTTTATGTTGTCACTCAGAGTAGATTCATCTAGGTACCAGGTGCTTTGATCTGAGGCTGAGGGACCAGCAGTGGGATCTTGAGAAACACAGTTTGCAGGTGTTAGAAAGTTACAGTCTATATCCCCTATTCCAGAGGGTACAGGCAGCAGATAAGCAACACATTTTCAATTCAGTGCAAAAGTAGACACAGACCTGTTTATGGACTCTAGAAACATTTTTCAGTTGTTTGCACTGGGTTACATGGGAAACTCTTCCATTAAAAATAACCTAGATGTGGTAGTACCTGGAGCTCCTTTTATTCACTGTAAGTTCTCACCAAACCTGTAACACCAGCAACTTCCTACAGCTCCCTGCACACACATAAATCTCTCTGCTTTCCTCTCTCCTCCCCCTGCAGCCTCAAATTACATAATGTCTCAGCAAGCCAGGAGCACCCACTGATGGAGATGTGATTGATTCCCATCCCTGAGGCAGACTATAGAACATCAAATGTAATAAGAATTATCCATGTTACCTGGGGCTCCACACACTGTGTTGATGGCAGTGGACTGAGAAGACAGCAACTCATCCAGCAAACGCTGAGCAGTTGGAAGAATCTAAAACACAAGACATTCAGTACCATTTAAAAATACATGTGCACCTCTTACCCTGTCATAAACCAAGCAACTATTCAGATTTTTGTTTCTGAGGGACCTGGGACTGACAGATGTTTAAACACACTTTAGTCCAGTTTCCTTTCTGGGTTGTCTATCTAGTGCACAACTTAGAGATTTATACCTACTATATATGTGTAAGAGTACTTTTAAGTACTCCAGTGGAGGGAGTAACACATACTGCAGCTGATACCATAGCATAACTCTAGTTATTCCACTTTCCTCCATGTTTTACCTTAAGGTAAATTAAGCAAACCTTGTCACATAGTTCATACCCTGCAAGGTAAATAAAAGAACAGAAAGGTGTGGATGATCCTATCTTTCATTTTAAATAAGGAAAAATGATTTTGCAATTCTAAGCTTCTCATTTCAACATATGCAACATTTTCTTACAACTACTCTACATGCTTCCATTACTTAGCACCCCCACTTCCATCTCCAAAAAGGAGTATACCTCCTCTGCTCGGGCCTGTAGGGGGAGCTGCCATGAAAGCCAAGGCAGACACAGCTAGGACTAGCGTCCAAGATCAAAGATAATAAAAAGTCCTTTTTCAAATATATAGGGAGGATGAAGGCGGCACTGGGAAACGTGGGGCCCCTGCAAGATACTCTGGGCAATCTGGTGGTTGCGCCAGAGGAGAAAGCAGATCTCTTTAACCAATTCTTCACCTCCGTTTTCTTGTGCAGGGACCAGGACTTCCCCACCATGATGCAAGACGGACTCGAGGGGATTGCCTCCAGACCTCATGTTGGGGAGAACCAGGTTAGAGAGCATCTGGAGGGGCTGGATGTGTTCAAATCAGCAGGTCCAGATGCTCTCCACCCCAGGGTCTTGAGGGAGCTAGCAGGGGTTATTGCAGGGCCCTTGGCACAGCTTTACGAGTGCTCGTGGTGCTCGGGCCAGGTGCCAGATGATTGGAAGATAGCCAACATGGTCCCCATCTTTAAAAAAGGGAGGAGGGAGGACCCGGGCAACTACAGGCCCGTCAGTCTTACCTCAATCCTAGGGAAACTCTTTGAGAAGAACATCAAGGAGCACATCTGTGATGGGCCAGCTTCAGCGATGATGCTCAAGGGCAACCAGCACGATTTTATTAGGGGCAGGTCATGTCAGACCAACCTGATTGCCTTTTATGATCAGGTCACAAAAGCCTTGGATGCAGGTGTCACCGTGGATGTAGTCTTTCTGGACTTCAGCAAGGCCTCTGACAC